AAACACACACTCGAAATTGAAATGGACAACGTGGACGATGTCAACGAAAACAATAGGAATAATCGGGTTGACCCAAACAATGGAGTGGTGGTACCTCTTGTGCTAGAAGCTGCTCTTTATGATTGGGCACAACCAACTGCTGATAACTTAGCCACCGCCATTGCTGTACCTCAGATACAAGTGGAGACATTTCAGATCACCAACAACATGCTGCATCTGTTGCAAAATAAGGGACTATTCTCCGGGTCATACATTGAAGACCCACAACAACATCTGAAGAATTTCCTATCAATATGTATGACCCAAAGACAGCCGAATGTGACTCCTGAAGCCATCAAGCTATTACTGTTTCCATTCTCTGTGACTGGAGAGGCTCAAACTTGGCTGAATTAGCTCCCAATAAACTCTATTGCCACTTGGGAAGAATTAGTCAAACAGTTCTTAAACAAGTTTTATCCTCCCAACAAGACTACAAGGCAGATCGATGAGATATTGCAGTTTAGGCAGAAACCAACTGAGACCTTGCAAGAAACCTGGGAGAGGTTCAAGGGTATGCTAGTGAAATGTCCACACCATGGCATTCCAGATCAAATGCTGGGACAAAGATTCTACATGGGTTTAACAGATAGTTTGAAGGCCAATGTAGATACTTCAGCTGGGGGTGCATTTTTGAGCAAGACATTCACAGAGTGCAAGATTCTTCTTGACAAGATGGCTCAAAATTCAGGCTAGATGGCTAGAGGTACGACACTTACACCAATAGTGCATTCTGTTGCTCTTGACCCAAACAATTCCCATGCAGAGAACATAGCCACTCTCATGACTCAGATGAGCATACTGACAAAGAAGATTGATGAGATGGGTACAAACCAAGTGCACATTGTTGATATAACAAATGGAGGATTGTGCACTCCTTGCATAAACCAGTCATATGTGTGCTCGTAGAGTGGAGAGAATGACAATCAGGGCTTCAGAGAAGACATGAATTATGTCAATAATTTTGGAGGTCAGAGGCATGGTGGGAAACAATGGGGACCGGCACCAAACCAGAAGTACAAACCAAGCCTGCCATAACACAACCCCAATTCTGGAGGCGCACGACCACAAGGTCAAGTTATGCCTTATCAAAGGCAGCAGGGCTATAATCAGCAGTACCAGCAATAGCTGGCATACCAACCACCTCATCAACAACAGGACAACAACATGGTAGAAATCAGGGGTATGCTGTAATAACTCATTGGAACAAATGGTAAGATGCAAGAAAAGTTAGCAGCACATGATTCAGCAATCAAAGTCATTGAAACTCAACTGGGACAACTGTCTATGGCCTTGAACAATCGCCCCCAAGGAACATTCCCTACAGATACAAATATTAACCCAAAGGAACGGAGCCCAAATTAGCTAATGACAGTGAGTCTTAAGAATGGAAGAGATTTAGACAGAGAGTAAGAAGTTGCTCAATTTATGAGAGAGACTACGCCAACTATGCCGATTACATTAGAGGCAGATGAGTTAGCAGAGCTCACCGAGGTTGTAATTGAACAAGCACAAGTTGACAAGGGTAAGGAGAAGGACGGTGAACAAGTCTCAGAACAGGTGGCACCTCTTGTGCCAGAAGCCTCCAACAAAGAAAATACATCAAGTAGTGGACAGAGGTTGACTCATGCACCATTTTCTTAGAGATTAGCAAAACAAAAGAAAGATGATCAATACAGGAAATTCATGGAAATGCTTCGACAGATTCAATTGAATATTCCACTGATGGATGCTTTGAGGGAAATGCCAGGGTATGCAAAAATGATGAAGGACCTGATGTCGCGAAAATTTGACTTCCAGGACCTGTCCACTATAACTCTGACACAGACCTGCAGCGCAGTAGTGACAAGACCTATGGCCCAAAAGGTGTCTGATCCAGGTAGCTTCACTAGGCCATGCACTATTGGGAGTTATGATTTTGCTAAAGCATTGTGTGACTTGGGATCCAGCATAAACTTGATGCCCTTGGCAATCTATACAAAACTGGGCATTGGCAGAGCTAGACCGACCTCAATGTTGCTGTAGCTGGCCGATCGCAGAGTCAAAAGACCGACAAGAATTCTTGATGATGTGCTTGTGCAAGTGGAAAAATTTATATTTCCTGCAGACTTTGTTATTCTTGACTGTCAGGTGGATGAAGAGATACCCATCATTTTGGGAAGGTCATTCTTAGCCACTGGGAGAGCATTAATTGATTGTGAGATTGGAGAGTTGAAAATGAGGTTGAACAATAAAGAAATAATATTCAACGTTCAACAATCCATGAGAAGACCCAGTGAATTTGCAAACTACTCACTAGTGGAGGCCGTGGATGTGATACTGCAAGAAGAGGATGAGACCCTTAATGTCAAGGATCCACTAGAAGCCTGCTTGATGAATTTGGAAGAGATGGATGGTGAAGGGTTGGCAGAGTGGGTCACAGTTCTCAAAGGTCAAGGATTCTGGAAAAGGGAACCTTAGTTCGAGCCCCTACGCTTAGAAGAGAGAGCAACACCACCTCCAAAACCATCAATAGAGGAGCCACCACATCTGGACTTGAAATCGCTTCCAGCCCACCTCAGGTATGCTTTCTTGGGGCCTAATTCTACTTTGCCTGTTATTATATCATCTGGTTTGCTAGCTGTGTAGGTAGAGCAACTATTGCAGGTATTGCAAGAATATAAGACTACTATTAGTTGGACCATGGCAGACATAAAGGGTATCAGCCCAGCCTTTTTCATGCATAAGATTCTTCTGAAAAAGGGGCACAAACCTTCCAGGGAGCATCAATGACGGCTGAACCTAAATATGAAGGAAGTATTAAAGAAGGAAGTGATCAAGTGGCTGGATGCGGGTATTATCTTCCCCATCTCTGATATCAACTGGGTCAGTCCTGTCTAATGTGTGCCGAAAAAGGGAGGAATGACGGTCGTACAAAATGAGAATAACAAGTTGATCTAAACTCGTACAGTCACGGGGTGGCGGATTTGCATGGACTATCAGAAACTGAACACATCCACTCGAAAGGACCATTTCCTATTGCCTTTCATTGACCAAATATTGGACAGGTTAGCTGGGTGATCCCACTTCTGTTTCTTGGATGGATACTCGGGGTATTACCAAATCTCAATAGCCCCGGAAGACAGAGAAAAAACATCCTTCACTTGTCCATATGGCATCTTTGCCTTTCGGAGAATGCCCTTTGGACTTTGCAATGCACCGGCTACATTCCAGCTGTGCATGTTAGCCATTTTCACTGATATGGTGGAGGATATTATGGATGTGTTTATGGATGATTTCTCTGTGGTGGGGGATTAATTTGAATATTGTCTTCACAACTTAAGAAGAGAGTGCTCAAAAGATATGTAGAGACAAATCTGGTGCTGAGTTGGAAAAAATGCCATTTTATGGTACAAGAAGGAATAGTATTGGGGCATCGAGTGTCCAACAAGGGCATTGAAGTCGACCATGCTAAGGTTGATGTGATTGAGAAGCTGCCACCGCCTACTTCGGTAAAGGCAGTGAGAAGTTTCCTTGGGCACGCTGGGTTCTATAGGCAATTTATTAAAGATTTTTCCAAAATTGCTAACCCCTTATGTAAGCTGCTTGAAAAGGATCAGCCCTTTGTGTTTTCTAATGATTTCAGGTTGGTTTTTGAGGAGCTGAAAAAGAGATTGGTGACTGCACCCATCATAGTGGCACCCAACTGGGAGCAACCATTCGAACTCATATGCGACGCCAGTGATTATGCTATAGGAGAAGTCTTGGGGCAACGCAAAGACAAAATGATGCACTTGATTTACTATGCAAGCAGGACGCTCAGCGGTGCATAGCTCAATTACACTGTAACGAAAAAGGAAATGCTGGCTGTAGTGTTTGCCTTCGACAAATTCAGGTCGTACTTAATTGGTTCAAAAGTTATTATTTATATTGACCATACAACAATTAGGTACTTGATTGCAAAGAAGGAGTCAAAGCCACGCTTGATTCGCCGAGTTCTGTTGCTACAAGATTTCGATCTGGAAATCCGTGACAGAAAGGGGACAGACAATCAAGTGGCAGACCACCTCTCAAGATTGGAAGGAGCTGAAAAGAGAATGGAGGTTGAAGACATAACAGAGACATTCCCGGATGAACAGTTACTTGCTGTGACAATGGAGGAGACGCCATGGTACACTGATATTGCTAACTATTTAGCAAGAGGTATTGTACCTTATGAACTCTCCTCAATTCAAAAGAAAAAGTTCTTCCGCGATTGTCGAGCCTATTATTGGGACGAACCTCTATTGTTTAAAATATATGTAGATAACATGATCCGGAGGTGTATCCCCGAGAAAGATCAACTTTTTATTTTGCAGGCTTGCCATGCTTCACCATATGGTGGACACTTTGGAGGAATCCGAACAGCAGCAAAAGTGTTGGAATCGGGATTGTATTGGCCTACCCTGTTCAAGGATGCCCATGCTTGGGTCAAAAGTTTAGATGAATGCCAAAGGACAGGTAACATATCTTGCTGTCACGAGATGCCGATAACCATAATTCAAGAGGTCGAGGTTTTTGACATGTGGGGGATCGACTTTATAGGGCCGTTCGTCAGCTCGTATGGTAACAAATATATATTGGTAGCGGTTGACTATGTCTCCAAGTGGGTCGAAGCGGTGGCTCTCCCAACCAATGATGCAAAAGGGGTAACAAGTTTCCTAAAGAAAAACATCTTCACACGTTTTGGCACCCCGAGAGATATAATCAGTGATGGTGGAACCCATTTTTGCAATAGAGCGTTCGCACGTCTATTGGAAAAGTATGGAGTTCGCCACAAAGTAGCCACACCGTACCACCCACACACGAGCGGGCAAGTTGAAGTATCCAATAGAGAAATTAAAAGTGTCCTGACAAAGAAAGTGAATGCAACAAGGACTGATTGGGCAAAGAAGCTGGATGATGCATTATGGGCGTACCACACAGCATTCAAAACTCCAACTGGTATGTCACCGTACAAGTTGGTATTTGGAAAGGCATGCCACCTTCCGGTAGAGCTCGAACATAAAGCACTTTGGGCACTGCGGCAGTTGAATCTGGATATAGAGACCGCAAGCACCAACAGAGTCACTGAGTTACATGAGCTCGAGGAATTCAGGTTCCATGCATTTGAGAATTCTAGATTATACAAAGAAAAGATGAAAATGATCTATGATAAGCACATCCTAGATCGGAACTTCAAGCCTGGAGATCTAGTGTTGTTATACAACTCGAGATTGAGATTGTTTCTGGGTAAGTTGAAGTCCCGATGGCCAGGACCCTTTAGAGTGGTGCAAGTGCTCTCAAGTGGAGCTGTAGAGATTGAATCTGAAGATGGGACAAACAAGTTCACGATAAATGGGCAAAGGTTGAAACATTACCTTGGAACGGTCGAAGAGAAAGGGGATAGAGTGGTGATAACTTTGGAAGAGCCCCAGTACGCGAAAGAGGAGTGATAATGAAAGCCTACATCATGCCGCGACGTTAAATCAAGCGCTTCCTGGGAGGCAACCCATGGTTTGTTGTAAATCGTCGGGCCGCGACGTTAACTTAGGTGCTTTTTGGGAGGCAACCCATTATTTTCTTACTTTGGTTGTTGTAATTAATTTTGAACGACTTTGACCGATCTACTAGTGTGCAGGGCAAATATTATGCTCATCGAAAGGATTCGAGGGTCGAAATTAACCCGAGAATAGGTAAAAATGCGGCAAAGACAAAAATTGGCTGGAGACGGAGATCCGCGACCGCGAAGTGGATCGCGGATATGGCCATAGATTTTGGCATGTGTTTTGTCCCCCGTCCGCGGCCACGGATTGGGGCACAGATTTTTGTTCTCCCTCTGCCCAGAATCCGCGGCCGCGGATTAGACCGCGGATTGGACCACGGATTTTGGGCGTGTCCAGATAACATGCAACCTTCAAGGAAGAGACATGCTATCGGGGCCTCATCAAGTGGTCATGGAGGCTCATCTCAGGGACGGGCACCGACCAGTGTAGCTCAGTGTGATCATACCAGGTTTTCTCCATAGCTGCCCAAGACCGTTTCAGTTTGAAGGCCACTAAAAAACCTGTACCGGAAAGGGGTATTGATAGGGCGTCCCGCTAGGATGAGTGCCCTAATATGTATCGGGAGTTGATCAGGCACAGATTGGACAGCTTTTTCGAAGAGCCGGAGGAGGGTAACTTGATACTTGTTCGGTAGTTCTATGCCAACTGCCCCGAAGATGAGGATAGAATATGCACTATGCGACACACGAGGGTGGATGCCTCGATAGAAGCCATCAGGAGAGTGTATCGATTGCCTAAATTCAATGGGGAGGAGGATTTCTATGATACTTACAGGAGAGAACCCATCACATGGAACAAGTTTTTTAGAACTATTTGTGCACTAGACAAAGAGATAGTTTGGGTTGTGCAGGGATCGAAGCTACACTCTTCCTCACTCACTTTTGAAGGAAAGTGCTGGTTGTACATCATCAACAGTCGCTTGCTGCCGTCCCACAACACCACGGAGGTAAATGGTCCGAGAGCTGCCTTGATATGGTGCTTCGTGAATGGCCACGACTTCAATGTGGCCAAGGTTATTCAGTCTAAAATGTTAGTCCGTTCACCACAGAAGAGGTATGGGTTCTTTTTTCCCTCTCTGATCACTAGATTATGTCGGGCAGTAAGGGTGCCTGAGAACCCAAATGCGGATGGCATGATAAAGAAAGAAGCAAAGTTCCGGGCAGACAAAGTGACCATCGGGAAAGACCCTGTGGCACCAGGGATAACTCATAGTGACGATTCTAATGCGTCGGAAGATGGCGATGAAGGGCAGGAGGAGGTTGAACCTACCTCACCCCACAGGAACAAGCTGCAGTGGCTGAAGGACCATCCCAGGGCAGACGGAGCACGCGAATGACAACCCTAGAATAAGACATGGTAGGACTGCGCACTTCCGTCACGGAATTGGGGACCAGAGTTGATGCTTTGGCCACCCAAAATGCGAAGTCAGAAAAGAAAATCATGGGTTGGCTGAGTGCGCTGGGGAGAGCATGTCATCTCGACCCTGGCACTATCTCCGATCAAGACTGATCCACCAGGGAAGTTCCTTTACCTCACATTACTTTACTTTGTATTACATGGGGACATGCCATCTTTTTAAGTGTGGGGTGGGGGATACTTTGTTGTAGGTCGTATGTAGATAGTTTTGTAGTTTATTTGTATAAATCAATTTTGACTTGGCCCGACGATGGATATCATTAGATGGGTTTCTTGAGGGACTAAAGTCGAAAGAAGAAGAAAAAAAAACCAAAAAGATTTTATTTTGTAGTAGTATATCAATTCCCCCTTGGTTTTTCTTCAAACCACGGTTCTTTTTCAAGGATTTTGTTTGAACCGGTTGTAGTTAGCTTTTTATTTTTAGTTAGGAACTTATGGGCTATGGGAAGAATTAGAATATGATCCCGTAATTTCGTAATGCCTTGAATATAACAGTTACGTAGTGTGACGCTTAAGCTCATTTGTTGACTTTTGTAAGAAGGCCTTAAAATGTATGTTCTTAATTTGGCTTAAGTACCCTGATCTGAGTGTTTGATGATCTAATCTGGAATGAATCATGTGCTATGTGTGTGAGGCTTGTTATATTCTTTGCACGACATTTAACGCCTAGAACTTGTTCCGTGTATCTGCAAAGCGAAATGGTAGTCTTGTTTGGTCTGGAAAGTGATATAGGTATTTCTTTGTTGAACCATATATATACATACTCCACCCACCTATTTGCTATGTACCATAGTTAACCCCGTTGAGCCTGTAATCCTGTTTCCTTGGCAACCACAATACAAGCCCTATCCCTTGTTTGAATTGACCATCTTTTTGAACCCTTTACCTCTCGTAAGCACTTGAAATACTATGAATTTACAAAGGATAAAGTGTGGGGTAGTTGGTGGAGCTTTTGAGTGGAACTAGGGAAATAAGGAGAAAGGTATATCTTGTTGGAAAAGCCACTTGTGAAAAAAAAGAAGAAGAAGAAAACATTGTTAATAACATATCATGTTGATTGGTAATAATTCTTTGGTGGCTTTTAAGGTGATGGTGCTCAAAGAAGAAGTGTGGGGTGGTATATGTGGTGTTAAAGATGAAAATATTGGTTTAACTTAGGTGCGGACTTGATTGTAAAATAAATGTATTAAAGTGCTTAGGGAGTTGTAGTCACTATCATATCCAAATATATCATACCTAACCTGTAGCCTACATTATATCCAAATAAAGTCCTACTTGATCCTAGACTGAGTGAGCTCAATTAGTAGAGTCGTACACTACGGACAAGCCTATGGTACGGTTTCTGTGGCACAAGAATGTCATTTCTGAGGGTGAGTAAATTCTGTTCCTTTTAAAGTTCCTCAGTGTGCGTGAATTTTACTGATTGTGAAATGAGTCTCTTTTGTTGTGAGCAGGCACTTGATTCATGAAGGAGAGGTAAGTCTGGACTTATGAATTAGAGTAAGTAAGCCGGTTAGGAACATTCCGTGGCTAGGGGGAGTCAACTCTTGAGGTGTAGATGTTGCACTAATGTCCTCAATTTATGTGAAATATTCTTAGTGTGACGAGTAGGGAAGTCTCTCAGTGAAGTTAGGACTCTTAGAGTGTGGTTTGATTGCTCGAGGACGAGCAATGGTTTAAGTGTGGGGTGTTGATAGTAGGCTATAATTATGCAATTTAGACACTACTTACACTCTAATTTAGCCGCACTTTATTGATATTTGAATGCTAAAAGATAACAAAATGCTCTAATTAAGAATTTGATACTTTGCAGGAGCTACTCCAAGCTAGGAAGGGGCTAACGAGTGTTTTGGAGTCAACATGGAGTGTGAAAGGCCAATCGAAGGTTAGCCCGGTCGAAAAGGAGCGAGAAAAGCAAGCGAGACGACCCCTCCAAGTGCGCAGCCGCGAATTGGTCCGCGAACTCAAGGCAGTGAGGCAGTGGAAATCCGCGGCCGCGGATGGGCGAACGAAAGACAAACACGCAGGGTTAATTATGTAATTTCCTAGGAAACTAACCTAAACCTATATGAAACCTAAACTCGCCCAGAAGTAAGGTATGGCTGATTTTAGAAGATTTTATAGGCAAGAATAAGGGAGAGAAGACGGATAATTTCCTAAGAGTTTTCATCTTCTTCTTCATACTTCTATTTGTTAATTATAAATTATTTTAGTGATTTATTTTCCATTAGTATGAGTAGCTAAATCTATTACCTAGGGTTGATAGAACCAATTGTGGGATGAAGTCTTGACTCTATTTTGTTATAATTGAGCCGTGTTTGTTCTATGATTGTTCAACTACGTATTGTATTATGGTTAATTGAAAGGGCCCTTGATTAATCGTGTCTAGTTACCTTGTGTTGCTTGAGAAAGAACACTTGGTTAGATTGTTGTTGAACAACACTACTTTTGGGTAAGTTAAGAGATTAATTACTTGAATTTAAAAGTGGGGTTAGAAATAACGAAGCTTTGGTGGGATAATTCTGAGTTGCATAAATTGTTAACTAGAATAGTTCGAGAGAATGCTTCTAGTAAATTATCGTAATTGATCGAGAGGTGATTACGGTAGCCCGGAATTCATAATCCTCATAGAGTATTACGGCGAGATTATAGCTAAAGAGTTAAGAATTAATCCGGCAATTGGGAAAATTAATAGCCCTAGATCCTTTTACCCTTGAATTCAATTTTAGTCTTGATTATTGCTAATTTTATTGTCATTTTTCCTTAGCTTAATAAATTCTACTGATTATTCATAAAACTCTTGCACCCGGAAGTTGTCTGAGCTTATCATTAGCATTATTTAAAGTTGTAGTAAATAGGTTAGTTCCCTGTGGGATTTGACTCCGGACTTGAACCGGATTATATTTGCAGCGACCGCTTAGTCCTTTTTACAAGGCATAGTTGGGCGTGATCACATACCAAAGAGTAAAGTCAACTAGCATATATCCTCTGTGTATTTATCGTATCTCTAAAATACGTACATCCAAAAGGCAGATACTGTACTCTTGCTAGTTTCCAATATATTCAAAAACTTAAAACCTGCAGCAGGACCATATCGGATATCCCAGTGCACGAAACATCTCGCGTTCATGCACGATTCAGGGAAGGGTTGCACCCTAAGGGGGTGGGATGTAGGTAGCCTACTCCATCAGTGATTGGTTTCACACGGCTCCAACTCGTGACTTATAGGTCACATGAATATAACTTTATCATTGCTCCAAGGCTCCCCTCATATAACAGTCTAGAATATCAACCTAATCAAATTATTTCTGACTATCGAAATAATTTGAAGTGTCACTTGCATAGACTGATTTAGAGTGTATAGTGGATGCACCCAAATTATATATGGTCGAGTAACTTAAAATATGACTTATGTGCTAAGCTTTCGCCAACATTACTAGAAGTTATGCACCCTTTATATTTAATCTGTATCA